AAGATTTGTATTTTAAAGACAACCAGTTCAAAGGGAGCATAATTAGCTTTTTGGGTTAAAATAATTTCTTAATATGAAATTCGAGTGGTATGACAATTAGAGATTAGACTGTGCAGAAATTGAAATCTACTCGCTTGTACACACTATACTCATTGTCACGCAATGCTGATGTTGTTAACATTAACAATTTTGAGAATAAAGTATAATAATAATAATAATTTGCACGGTTTGGTGTGATATGAGCTCATTTAGATTTAATCACCATTGGTAGCACGATTTATTGTAATGCTTTTTCCCTCAGTTGGTCAGAACAAACATGGCAGACTTGTTACTTACTTGTTCAGATGACAATATACTGTGAAAATTCTTATTTGGGTCATATATTCCAAGACGTAGGCTAGAATCTGTGAATTGCGAAGTACAGTAAATATCCACACCGGTGCGGTGACTGACTGCCACACATACTCCTCAAAACATTAGATTCAGCCGTGCCGCTGTACAACCCACGCAAGGAAGATAATTCCGCACACAGCTGCAATTCCAGGTTTTCAAACAGAGATGACGAAAATTTACGGATTGCAGCTTTAATCAATAAATGGTGATGGGCAAAGTAGACTAGTGTAATCTATTAACTACACATAAAAACTTGACATTTTACCAGATATGGGTGTCATGCCATAAAATATTTTTAATACGACTGACTTTGTATTTAATGTGAAAATCACTGAAGCTGTTTACACTGTGAAATGAATATCTTACTTACATTCTTATGCACATCTTCACTTTGTTGTTTCTGATGAGAGAATTCGTCAGAAAGAGGTATTCAGTCAGCGAGCAAGTGAACAAAACACGCATTTCAGCGACGACTCATCTGAACTACTCTGATTGGTCATTGCATTCATAAGCTCAACAGAATCGTGTTTTGATTGGTTATAATGCATAGTGCTGTAAAAACACGTCTGTATCTGGCTCAGCGCCAGCCAGCGAACGCAGATTTGAATTTAGCAGCTATGATGCACTGAACGTGCTAATCACACCGGTGTGATTGTATCAAATATATAAAAATATTATTGTGGTATTTTTTGTTTTTTGGAAGCTGCATTCAAAATCCACTTGGCTCAGAAATCTGAGGGGGCACATGCCTTTGCCTACCTCACTTTGAATGGGCATGACGCCTCTGGACAGTTATTTTTGCACCTGACCTTATATGCATTTGTAGGAGTTTCCCTTTCAGAGGCAAAATTTATGGGAGGTAATTAAAATTATGAGTATACTAACTAACTAACTACTTACGTTTGCTCTCATCAAATTACTGGTAGGCTATTTGCGCCATTATTTAATGCCCAAAAAAAGCATGTCTTAATGCAGATGCTAAATTGCGCTGCACTTGGTAGACTGTGTTGGTCATTATGGTAATGATCTGGCTGTGTCTTTGATGCATTACTTTTAAAAGTAACTTTCCCCAACACTGGTGGTCAATAAGACAAAATGCATTTTAATTACAATTAATATGACAACATGTACAAATGTACAAAGGTTTTATTGCTTTTATGCTTAAATGAAGCCTAGGTTCCACTTACAGGCCTATAATAAGTTGTTTATTGAATCATTTGTTGTGACGTTTTGTCTTACAGACAGAGGAAACCATGGAGCAGCAACAAGAGCAGAGAGGATTGTGTCTTTTTTAATTCTGCTCCATATTCTGCAATATATTTGACTTAGAATGAGGTGTGTGATGTGTATGAGCTGCGCATATACTAGTATATGTAGTAGTGTATAAATCAGGAACAGAAAATGTCCTTCCGTAGCAATCCATTAGCCAATCTTCTAGCATGTGCAAATAAGGGCTAAATTTACTAACCGCTTGTGCCAGCGCAATCCGTCTTTTGGAATTAAAATAGTAGGCTACTGTCAGGATTTACTAAAGATGCGCAGTGAATAATTAGCGCTGAAAAGGCGTGGACACAAGTCAGGGGCATCATGCACTCATGATTTTTGAGGGGGCACGATAGCACTGTATAACTGATATAGACTTTTTATTCGAAATATTTCCAAACGTGTTACCTATATCAGGAAATATCTCGGTTCTCAAATATGTGTAAGTAAATGCGTTTTGCACCTTTATAGATTGATTGGTTATAATGCATAGTGCTGTAAAAACACGTCTGTATCTGGCTCAGCGCCAGCCAGCGAACGCAGATTTGAATTTAGCAGCTATGATGCACTGAACGTGCTAATCACACCGGTGTGATTGTATCAAATATATAAAAATATTATTGTGGTATTTTTTGTTTTTTGGAAGCTGCATTCAAAATCCACTTGGCTCAGAAATCTGAGGGGGCACATGCCTTTGCCTACCTCACTTTGAATGGGCATGACGCCTCTGGACAGTTATTTTTGCACCTGACCTTATATGCATTTGTAGGAGTTTCCCTTTCAGAGGCAAAATTTATGGGAGGTAATTAAAATTATGAGTATACTAACTAACTAACTACTTACGTTTGCTCTCATCAAATTACTGGTAGGCTATTTGCGCCATTATTTAATGCCCAAAAAAAGCATGTCTTAATGCAGATGCTAAATTGCGCTGCACTTGGTAGACTGTGTTGGTCATTATGGTAATGATCTGGCTGTGTCTTTGCGCATTGTCAGTAAATCCCACAGAAATGTACACTCCCATCGGCGCTGTTTTGCCCTGTTTAGTAAATCTGGCCCTAAATCACTGCAGATGGTCCCATGTGTGATGCCATACATGGTCTTCCGTCGACAGGAGATCTGTAATACCTAAAGAGAGCTGTGAGGTATTATTCACATTCATCTCAATGGCAGTTGCTCTGCTGACACATGATGCATGAGTGTGTGGGCACTGAGTATGCAGGGTTTTTAAAACCCTCCTGTTGTTCCAGAGAGGTCATTTTGACCCAGAGAGGATATTCTTTCTCCCGAAAATGTTAGTTAATGCAATCGCATTGGACTAAGATTTACTGACTTTGTTCACACAGGGTATAACTACTTCCACCACAAACATTTTTTTTATTTTATCCAACCTTGTTACCGGTCAAAAATAACTGGCCTACAAAAAATAGCTTATAAATCTCTTGTTATGCTATATTATCACCAAATATGGGATTCAATCGTTTTGTCAACGTGTTTTCTTTCAATTAGGACTGGTTTTGTATTTCTTTTTGGAACTGATTTATCGTAGGCCTCATTAATCTGAGTTTACATACCTCCGTTTTTGAGAGAAAAAAGCATTATTTGTGGATAATTTTGTCAAATGTTACATAAAATATGCACTGAATGTGAAAATGTGCTCTGTTTTTTTCACACTAGCATGCTCTAATGTTTATCTATAAAATCTGTTTTGAAATGCATATATCTTGTAAAAAATAAAAAAAATAGCACAAAAGATCACTTGTGGTGTTCCCGGTCAAAAATGACTGGCCTACATAAAATAGCTTATAAATCTCTTGTTGTGCTATATTATCACCTAATATTGTCAATTAGTTTTCTTTCAATTGACTGGTTTTGTATTACATTTTTATACTGACTGATTGTAGGCCTTATTGATCGGAAATCTGAGAAATATTTAGTGTTCAGAAGCATGTTGATCATGTTCATGTTCACATGTATTTGTGCCTGCGAATACACTGCTCAAAAACATTAAGGGAACACTTAAATCACACATTGGATCTCACTGAATGAAATATTCAACTTGAAAATCTTTATTTATATACATTCTATATGTGACAACAGTTAAATCATCAACACACTGAGGGCTGGATTCAAAATCACACCAAAAATCAATGTAAAGAACTAAAGTTACAGGCTGATCCAACTTGCATGAAGTTCATCACAGCAACTATTGGATGCTCCGATGCATAATATCCAATTTGATTCAAGTGAGGGCCAGTCAATGGCATCAATGCCAGTGTCATCTAAAAACTGCACACTCTAGCCACTGAGGCCAGGCATTATTATGCACCAGGAGGAACCCAGGGCCCACTGCACCAGCGTAAGGTCTGACAGAGGCTCTGAGGATTTCATCCCGGTACCTAACAGCAGTAAAGGAACCATTGGCTTTTCATATTTCATTTAATATTGATAAAATTATCCACAAATAATGCTTTTTTCATTCAAAAACTGAGGTACATAAGCTCAGATTAATGAGGCCTACGATAAATCAGTTCCAAAAATAAATGCAAATCCAGTCCTAATTGAAAGAAAACAAGTTACCAAAAAGATTGACACCAGTATTTGGTGATAATATAGCATAACAAGTGATTTACAAGCAATTTTAAAAGGCCGGCCATTTTTGACCGGGAACACCACAAGTGTTATAGGGATTTGAACACAACCTGAGGGTTTTAATGCAGTTATCTGAGCCATAAATGCTTGATTGTTAATTTCAGTGTTTGCATTCTAGGATACACGTCTGTCTCAAGTTCACACAAGTCACCTCCTACCAAGTATGGGTCGCTGCAGGTTGGAGTAATGGGCATCTCAAAAGGTAAGGAGTCATTGGTGAAAGGTGCCTCTTGCTGGCAAATGTGTTGGCCAATTGCGTTTGTGCATTGAGAAACTACATTAGCAATATCACATCTATAAAAATGACAGCGGAGCTGCAGATGCACTTAATATAGCATATAAACCTAACCACATAAAAGCATTATAAACCAATGAAATAAGCTTATAAGTGTGGAGTTTCACTTATTTCAGGTGCTCTTGAGAGATTTGTGTGGTGTTGAACGCACTTGATGCATTTTCCCAAGCACATAGCACAAGGGTAGTGCAATAATTTGGATTAAATATTAATTCAGATTAAATATTTATTGTAGGACATCGAATATGACTGTTCAATTGAAACCTTGCTTGTAATACAAGTATAACATTTTATTTAAAGGGTCATGAAACCCCAGACTACTTTTTCTGAGATTTTAGCAGAGGTGTTTGTGTTGCACATCATAGAAGACAATGTTAGCATCCAATAATTTTAACTACTGGAGAAAACTGGTTACATTTTAAGCTTTTTTGTGCTATTTTCATCTTCTGGTTTTAAAATCTACATCGTGTTGACGTCCCAGTTTGTGACGTGGCAAAGGACTATATTACATCGATGACGATTCGGTGTCTATTAAATTATTCATGAGACTGCGTGTTCTTATCCTATAAGAAGGCGCTTCGCTTAATTATTCACAACAGCATGTGTTGATTTGCTATGACAAACGCTTCAGACTGTGAGATCGCGTACATTATCTGAGAGAAACGTTCATGAATCAAAGGAAAGTGTTTGTTTTTGCTTTGTAATAAGATTTCGGCACAAACGCGATTCATTCACTTAGTGAGTATAACCGTTTTTACAGTTCCATGACACAGCCCATCAAAAGGCTTATATAAACGCGGTAGAATAAGCCTTAAAAGTTATCAGAGGTGCAACAGAATGTTCATGTATGTTTTCAATACAGAGTGCAAATGGCTTAAAAAAAGTAAAAAAGCAAAAATAAATAATAATTTATAATTTTATTTGCTTATGTATTTTTCCCACATTTATTTATTTTTTCTTTTATTTCTACATTTATTTATTTCCACTTTTATTTATTTTCACATTTATGTATTTATTTCTACATTTATTTATTTTCACATTTATTTATTTCTACATTTCTTTGTCCGTAGGGTAATGAGGAGGGCGTGTTTTACCTCAGGAATAGCAATCGAGCCAGAGTAGGTGAGGGGTAAGCTTTGAGGCCACAGTGACACCTTGTGGTGCCCAAACGAAGTACAAGAAGTGTAGCCTACATGACGCTCCTGTTGATAGTGTGGGATGAATGATTTAGATGGGCAATATGGCCAAAATCTTATATCACGGGTTATTTCAATTTCATGTGGGGGGTTGTTTCGGCTGGGAAGCGTGCAATCTGTGATCGCATGCATTTGCTGAAGCTCACGGAAGCATGCAATCGCTTTCTTATGCGCGCTGTTTTTTTAGGTTTCACTTTCAACGCATACAATACATGTTTCAAAGATTCGGGATAGAAGGAGGCATCAGTTACTGTAGAAGATTTGTCGCCTGGCGCCACTTCCCGTGTGATCACCGCATCAACTGATTATAATGGGTTGTCTTGGTGTAGACACGGCTTTAGATATGGATTAATCCAAGGCTGGAAATATCCGGAATTAGATCAAACAAAAGTTGTCCATGGGAAAGGAGCTAGTGCAACACACACGCCATGCATTGTAGCCTAAAACATGTTTAATATTTGCGACTGACACCAACAATTGTATGCAGCTATGCAGTGGAGATGCGTTCACGGTCAAGTATCATTCAGCATTCATTTTGAAATTTTGTCAAATATTTTTTCTTGATTACAAAACTCTGTTGTTCTTGTTGTGATTTATTTCTTGTTTTTCATTTAATTCATAAGTTAAAACTGCAAATTAAATGGTTTAGTTTTTTTCTGCAGTCGAAGAAAGTATAACCTAAATTATGTCAGTGATTTCTCATTTTAAAGATTATCAAGAATTATTATTTTTTTTTATCTGCAGTCTAATTAAGAAAATTAGCCTATAGATCTATAGCCTACAGGCTAATTTCATTCTTTCTTAACTTTTAACTTGTTAACTTTGTTATGAAGAATTTTAAATTAACTTCATAACAAATAGGCTAGGCTAATGAATTTTCGTCATAATCAATAGTCGAACATAACGAATACCCTAGCTATTCTATAAAACAAAATTTTCATTAAAAAAAATCATAAATCACAAATTTGACAGAATAAAATTATTCTATAGCCTATATACTGTATATAGCCTATAGCTTGACAGCAGAGATTCCGACGGGCTTGAGTGAGCGGCGGCCCGCGAACTTGACTTTGGAGCGGCTGGCGGGCTTGACTGAGGAATGGCCAGTGGGCTGGAGAGAGCCGCGGCCGGCGGGCTTGACAGCGGGCTGGTTCTGGCTCAGGCCCGGAC